GCCGGGCCATTGGACTGTTATCCTGATTATTGTATGATGCTATGAGTAGGGATCTGTTATATCTGTATTCCGATTATAGAATAATGATATGCTTAGTGATTTGTTAGATCTGTTTGACTGACTGTGCATGCTAGCTAGTACTTGATATGATATCTGTTGTTATGTTATGTGTGGTTGGGTTGAGGCGGTCCTGCTTTGTGCTGAAGGCCAACAGACCCAGGGCGTCCCGGATAGACTGAAGGCCGAAGGTGGCGTACCAGTTAGACTAAAGGCCAGTGGGTCGTTCCAGTCAGGCTGAAGGCTCTATATGCATGCTGTTTATTGTATTGTACTGGTTTTGTTGTGTACTAGTATTTTGGAGGAACTCACTAAGCTTTGGGCATACAATTTTGGATTATGTTTCAGGTACTTCCGAGGATCGCGGGAAGGCGAAGACGTGATCGTGCAACTCCTCATGTTTTTATTTCACGATTTTGGGATTTCTCTGATGTTGAACTTATTTTGAAAACAATTTGTAATAAATGATGGTTTTGTGGTTATTTAAAAAGTTTAAAATTTTCAAGAATTTTTCGAATGTTACAGTAAACTATTTTGATGATATGGTATGTTAGGTATACCAAGTAGCATGCGGTGTTGGTGTGGTGATGAGGTGATAGTGATGTGTCAGGAATTTTCATGTGGTCATGTAGTGTGGCTATACCCCATAGCCTTAGGTTCGTGTGACATATGGGGGTGTGTGGGCAGACTTTTGCCCTTCTCCCTCGTTCTTCAATCTTCAGTGTCAGTGTCAGACGCCAATTAACTAATTCTCCTTCCTTCTCCAATGCCAGCTTCAAGTAATCTTTACCTCCAACATCTTATCATATCGTTTCATCTCCTTCGGCTTTTGGCTTCTAGCTAATCTTTACCATCCGCTTTATATTTTTTTTTCCTTTTGTTAATACTTTACTCAAGTGTTAGCGTGTTCGTATCTTTATTCTTGAATGTCTTTTATTGTGTTTGTAAATTTTCTTGTTCATCTTCGGCTTAAGGTAAATTTTACCATCATTATTTAGTTTTTTTGTTTTACTATACTTTGCCTCTTGATATATATTATATATATATATATATATATATATATATATATCTATATATAATATATATATAGATATATATATATATATTACTGTTAATGATTATTTGTTAGACCGATGGATGTGCAACCAGAAAAGAGTGAGAGAAAATGTTCCCCCACCTTAGAACACCATACTGTAGGTGAGGGAAAAAAGGGAGGGGAGTATATCTCTCAATCTCTCTCCTCCTGTGATTGGTCAATATTTTTTTAATTTTTTTCAGTTTTTTTTAATATTTATTAAATTATATACCTACTGAAAAATTATAAAAAAATATATCGAAATTTATGATTTTTAATTCCCTATAAAATGAATATAATATTTGTATAATATATATATATATATATATATATATATATCTATATAATATATATATATATATTGTAAAAAAAATAAAAAAAAGTGAAAGATTCTTCCCATGCATACCGTAGGTTTTGGTGAGGGAAAGAAATGTAAGAGAAATGCTGACGTGACAGACAAAAAGTGAGGGATCCTTCCTACACACACCCTCGGGACTTACGGTCTTAGGAAATGTGTTAAATGTTAGTGTGCTAATATTAAATATTAGTGTGCTAATATTAAATGTTAATAACTTAATGTTAACTGTTAGGAAATTGATTCTATATTTTTTATGTTTTTATTGATTCTTGAATGTGTTAATGTTAACCGTGACAAACTAAACTATGTATTGTTTATGTTTTATTGTTTCATTGTCAATTATTCAATGTGTTAATAATCATAGTATCATTATGAATGCATTGTTAGGGAATTATGGATGGAAGAAGCGACAAAAACCAAAATACGAGTTTAAGGGATGAACTGTATTTGGTAATTGATGTCACTAATGATAACAATAAAACCAGTAAATGATGTTTACAATGTAAATAAACAGACGAAAATAAGAGCGGTCGTTCCAAAAGTTCCTTTATGTGTGATCGTTTTACTAACGCTGAGGGTAATAATAGTAAAGTAAAACGTTTTTACTGTATAATGGCTGATGGTACAAAAGGCATTATACGAGTGCTTTATTAACCAAGAAAAGGTTAGAAAATTCCTAGCAATAATGTATATTGTAGATAATAGGCTATCTAATATAGTTGATGAGGCGTTTAGGGAATTTGTATGAGAAATTTATCCCATGTTCATAATTCCATTTAGGTGGACTGCGCAAACAATTTTTTTTTATCAATACACAGAGAAGAGCAAAAAAGCTTAAAAACTTCTATAAAATCAAATTGTTTCTTTTACCATCGAAAAACGGACATCAATCCAACATTTTAACTACATGTGTCTTCCCTCTTATTAGGTTGATAATAATTGGACGTTGAACTTCAAATACCCAACCATAAGGGTATGGCAATATGAAATTATGTTTATCGTTTCTTACAAGAATGAAACATAGATTAGGTTTTTACTATAACCGTTGATAATGCTTTAACTAATAATCGATAAATTAAATATTTAAGATGTATGTTAAATGGATATCAGTCTATATTAGTTTACAAATATTACATTTAAGATGTGCCCATATCATCAACATTGTGGTGATAGATGGCTTAGATGAGAAATTTAGTACAATTACGAAGATTAGAAATACGGTTAAGTATGTGAGATCATCTCCTTTATGGTATGACAGCTTCAAAGAGTGTTTTTGAGCATGATCAAATTGATTGCAAAAGTAAACCATGTCTTGATATAAAGACCCGGTGGAATTACACATTCTTAATGTTGGAAATTCCAGAGAAGTACCCAAAGGCATTTTATATTATTGTTTTAGTACAAATTCTTAATAATAAGTGTTAATGTTTGTTACTTTGTTTTTTATAGACTTCAAGAGATTGATATCAATTATAGTTCTTATTTTTATGGTGAAAGCGATGATGATGGTGAGATGAGTAGTAGAAAGAGAAAGAAGAACGATCGAGTTTCGGAGGGCTCCCGAAGAAAAGTATTGGGAGAAAGCTATATATATATATATATAGATATATATATATATAAGAATATATATATTATATATATATATATATATTCATTTAAGTATGCTAATATGTCAATACATAATAATAGCCTAATTATGTTATTTTTTCAATAGACAATTTATAGAGTTTTTAAAAGATTTTTATAATGTTACAAAAAAATCATGCAATAAGTATGTGACATCAAATTTGTTTGTTGGGGATCCCGTCACAATGCATGCAGACATATCAAAGATGTGTTAAAAAAATGAGAAAAAGAGAAATGGAGTATTATTAATGAAAGCCAAATATGATCAATATTGGGACAATTTGGATAACATAAACTTATTGTTACATGTTGCATAAATTTTAGAACCCAATATGTTTTTTTCTTGATTATTGTTTGGGGTTGATTTATGCTACCAATGATGTAAAGATCAATGAAGTAAATTATCGAGTTCTAGAAATTTTAAAGGAGTTATTTACTTGATACAAGAAGACAGCAGTCAAAGAAAATAAGAAAAAGACAGATGGTTCTTTAACTTCTACAACTACATCCTTTAGTAGTTTTGTAATTTGGATGACAATTATGCTAAACATTTGAAAAACTATAAAAAAAATAATAATAGATAATTGAATATATATTTGGCTGATGTAAGCAGATTGAAAAAAAATGAAGGGATACTTTTGATGTACTAAGTTCGAGGCCACCTGCTGTTTTTTTTTCTTAATATATATATATATATATATATATATATATATATATATATATATATATATATATATATAAAGTCAAAGTTGGGCCTATTATATTGGAAAAATAGTACCATAATATTCTAAGAGCATTATTCTAAAATTTATTAAAGGGCCTTACCCCTCCTCACCAAATACAATAATACACCATATTTGCCTAAAATTGGTTGAAAGGGAAGTAAAGGAAACACAAGATACTATAGGGGTGCCACTAAAGGTATGAATATGAAACTAAGGGCCGAAGCTATCTGATAGTTGCTGATAGAATCAAAATCTAACTGAGTGATATCCAACCTCCAATTAATCCTAAGATGAGACATATTAGATGTTATATGATTGAATCAGATGCTTCTAATTATGTTGAATCTAACCGAGTCAGGCCCATCATCTTACTAGATCCAATAAAAAGCTTATCAAATAGCCCCTAAATGACCCTACTACTTATCTCTGCCATCTTTGCACTCTTCAAAATGTCGTTTTTCAAATATAACTTAGTGATTTTTTTTGGAAAATGACACATTAACCCTACTATGTATTTCGACTTTACCCATTCAGTCCTTAAATTACTATGACCATTTTAAGGAAATAAACTTTGAAGGAACATGTGTTTTAGTCCCTCGAACCTATTAGCCAATTTCATATTCTACATAAGCATTTTCCCATTAAAAAGTCAAAATACAATTTGTTCCTTTCTCAAATACAATTTAAAAGTCAAAATCGGAGACTCAACTCCCCAAGAACAACAAATCCATTTATGGAACCCACTCCGCGATGACGTCTTCTCAGTAACAACAAGATCAAACATCTAATGCTGCAAAAATCCACGAAGAATATGAATCTATTTTGTGTTTCATTACAACACTAGTGCTTTCGACATTCTTCACGTTGTCGGAATCAGCAAAATGTCAACAAACCCATTGTATTTTGCATTTCGATTCTCGGGAAGAGAGACAGAAAGAGAGATTCGATGAGGTTGCTTGAATCGTGCAAGATTTACGAGAGAGAGAGAGAGAGAGAGATCTGAATGGCGAGTAGATGAGTGAAGTTTAGGAGCAGCCATATGACTTTTATCCATCCACCTTCCATTCCAATGTATCAATTTTTATTTAATTTGTTTAATCCAAATCCATCTTCAAGTCGGATGTGAAGGTTGAGGTGGAAGAAGGCAGGATTTTACACATCAGTAGAAAACGGAGCAACAAGAAAGAGGAGAAGAACAACTAGTGGTTGTGTTTGAAACCTGCCATCTAAACCCGCCACAATCACCAATAACCAAACCCCGGTGAAGTCGGCAGCATTTATGTCGGCCACTTCGAATCAGGCAGCTTGAACACAATGAACACGATAACCATACTCTTCTAGGGTTTCGATGCCTTTCTCCAGCGAAGTCGACGTCAAGCTCTTCTAGGGTTCCGGTTAGGAAGAAAGGGATCGATGTATTTGGATTTTGATTTGAGTCATTGAGGATTGATTTGTGGTCTGGAGTGTTGGTGGTTGATTTGATCCCTGATATGGTGTGATGCATAGGAAGAAAGGAAAAGTCAAAATTGGTGTTCTTGATGCACATGAACCAAAAGTGAAAAGTCAATATCTATATGATAAAAGGGTAACCGGGTTACCCATTTATTTTGTCCAAAATGACCAAATTGACCCGACAAAAACAACTTTAATGATCTAGAAAGCACGAAAAATACTTAAAGGACCGAATGAGAAACTGCACAAAACATAATGTGTCATTTTTCCTAACTTTTTTGGACACATACGATTAAAGCTTGTGGTATTTGAACATTATTTTTTTGAACAACAAATAAATATAAATCTTCTGAGCCTGAGATTGAACCCAAGACCTCCTAGTTAGTAGTTAGATTAAAACTTTCATATTAGCCAAGTGAGCTAGCCCAAACTTGTTTGTATTTGAACATTAGATGACTCTATTTCACTATATATTACAATAAACAATTATAACCAATTAAATTATGTAAATTATGTCTATTATAGCAGTAAATTGAAATTATTGAGTGTCTTAATTGAGTCATAGCATGTTTGGCTTCATTAACCATAAGGACCCTCAATGTCAATCTACAGTCTACTTACTTTATCCTTTCCAAAACACGCCAATCATTTTATTAAAACAAAATGTTTATTAAAAAATGTTAAATTTCGAAACCACTCAGATAGAACTTCATTTTGTAAAACTAGAAAATATCGTACAAATATTTGATGTAATAAATTATAAATTACGAACTACTTCAAAAAGTATATTTTATATAACGACAAAACTTCAAAAATGGTCCATGTGGTTTCCGAAAATATGAAGTTTAGTCCCTAATTTTTAAAAACCTCACAGATGGTCCCTGTGGTTTCAAAACTTTTAACGTTTAGTCCTTATGGCTAACTCCGTCGGTATTTGTCCGTTAAGTGAATGACATTTTCCTAAATACGTTAAACAAATTGAATCCCTACCGGAAAAGAGACTGTGGGGACTGTGGGTGGCTCGTCGGAACAACGCTGAGAGGAAAATTCTCTTTACTTCGCTATCTCGCCGGAAAATAGAAAACACGAACCTCCAACAACTAAGAACCATCTTCTTCCTCAAAAAATTGGCCATGAAAACCTTGAAATCGGACCTTGAAAACCAAGGAAATCCATGTTCAAAAGGTATGAGTGTTTATCATCTGGGTTTACAAGTTTCTCTAAAATCAGGACTTGAAACCTTGAAATCGGACCTTGAAAACAAGCCATATCACCACCACCATGGTTCAACAGTTGAAATGGAAATATTGGTCTCACCATCGTTCATCAGTTAAACTCACCTGTGTGTATGCATCCCCTATTATGTGTACCTTGGTTTCATCTTTGTTCTTATTCATAATAGATCAATTATCATGAAAGTATAAATAATTGTGTTATTGTGAAATCAAAAGGAAGATATGGTCTTGTTAATGGGGGTTAGGATAAAATAAAGAATCGCAGGTGTGTATGTGTGTGTGTGAGAGAGAGAGAGGGAGAGAGGGTAGGACCCCCTTTATATTTCATTTTTTTTCAAAAAAAATAAAAAACCTCATAAATGGTCCATGGGTATTGAAATGACGAAAATTCCCCTCACTTAACAGTAGAAAGCTGACAGAGTTAGACGGAGGGACTAAACATTAAAAAGTTTTGAAACCACGGGGACGATCCGTGTGATTTTTAAAAATTAGGGACCAAACTTCATATTTCCGGAAACCACAGGGACCATTTTTGAAGTTTTGTTTTTATATAACTATGACATATATATATATATATATATATATATATATATATATATATATATATATATATATATATATATATATATATATATATATAGGGGAAAAGTGAATATATATTACAGCCCTACCTAAGCTTAGGTACTAAACCTCATGAAAATACGTTTTTTTACTATATAAAGATTGCGATTAGGGGATTCACAATTAACACTTGAAGATGTAGATTCATGATCTACATAATAGTTTTGATAAGGAAGGAAGAATATTGATTATCTTCAACCTTCGTGACAGTGGAAAACAATACTGTTCACTAGGGTGAAGTAATAAACGATAATGGAGGAATGAAAACAGGGATGGTAAAACGATAATGGAGGAAATAAATGTTATTGGGGACGGTATATTTACCAAGTGAAAACCAAATCGAGTATAATTACTAAGTTAAAACGACATATTTTGGAGGTTTAGTACCTAAGCTTAGGTGGGACTGTAATGTATATTCCCTATCCCCATATATATATATATATATATATATATATATATATATATATATATATATATATATAGAGAGAGAGAGAGAGAGAGAGAGAGAGAGAGAGAGAGCTAGATTATAACGTGGATGAACAACTATTGTGCGGACGTGTGGACAATGCTATTCTATGAGAATTAATAAGAGAATAAGTTGTTTTCTAATGTCAATACATTCAACCTTACACAACTATCGTTATTTTCATGCATTCTCACTAATTCTTATTCATTTTTGTTCTAACATGTAACGCCCGCAGATCCGGGATAGTCAATTTAGAGACAATAAGCATCAAAAATGAGTTTTTTATGGAAGATTATTTAGAATTATTAATCTTAACCAAGTTGTAGTATATGTTACAAGGGTTCCGTACATATAAAGAACGCCGAAATCCGAGTTATAACGAAGAAGTTATGGCTCGTCGAAGTTTTATGGCAAAACCGGCACGACACCGGGAGATGTAAATAGTGCATTTATGATATATGAATTTTTAGCCTTAGTAATCTAAAAGAAAGTCATAGAATATGTTAAACCGAGAGCGTCCATAAAAAGAACGCCCAAATCTGACTTCGTATGAGGAAGTTATGAGTTTTCTAAGATTTGGCATAGCAGTGCACGATCCAAAACTCGAATTTTAGCTCGAGCTGTTTTTGGGCTACGCGACCTAAATGAGACTTGAATATCTCATTAATAGGAACTCAACGGTAAAAAGACAGACGAAAACGGAGTCCGTATGTAGAAGTTATGAATTTTACGCGGACGTTTAACAGTATAATCTCCTCGTACTGTTAAATTTAAGATCAGTCAAGAATTAGCCGACGGTGTCAAAATGAAAGTTGTAGATCTTATTTTTACCTACGCGTGGATATAAATAACGTCGAAAATGGAGCTCGTATGCGAAAGTTATGAATTTTTGAAAATCGGCTGATTTCCACCCTGTGTGCGATGCCACGTGTCAGCACCTGGCTCAGACTTGGAGCCCAAGCTCACTCACGACGTGAACATCAAGAAATTCACGATGTGAATCTTCCTCCAGCCCCCTATAAATAAGAGGTGAAGCCCTCTTCATTCCTCACACCTCCCATCACTTCCCTCTCTCTATAGAACCTCTTTCTAGCCCCGGAACCCCCCGAAAAGCCTAGGGAACCCCCCTAGCACGAGGCGGAAGCCCGGAGCGCCCTACGGCTTCGAGAAGAAGAGCCTTTCGGCTCGGAAACGCTGCTCCAGCGGATCCCAGTTTTGAGAAAAACCCGTTGTAAGTGATCTATGCCTACCCTAACTTTAGTATAACTTATGTTTCAATATAGTAATGTTATTAGGACCTTATAATGAGTAATTGGGCTATTATTATGAGTTATATAAGTGTCGTTATAATATCTTTTTAACCACTCGTGGTACGGAGAATCTGGTTTGGAGGGCCGCTTGGGTTGCTGGATTTCAGAAGTGCTATATGCCAAAATGGTCCTGCCCTCCGGTGTTCGATGTTTGACCCCTGTCTGTACATAATGGGTGAAGAGTATTGTTTTAACGCTTATATAATAGTAATAATAGTAGGACTATTAATTAGTCTCGGTTAACATTAGACTAAACTCTAGAGGTAATGATACTAGGTTTTGTCCAAGGAAGTTGTTTTAAGCAAACAAAGTGTTGTCCGAGTACCGAGTCACCACCTTATCAGGTGAGTGCATAGTTACTTTCATCTTACACATAGATATGAAGTATTTTATATAAACTATGTGCTATGTGTTCATATTATCTGTATACTTGCTATCTATGCTGGATGAATGATTTTATACAAGTTTTAAATGATTTAAACTGTATACGTATTTATATCTACATAATATGTTGGGTAAAACATGGGTAGATGAAATATGAGTTTGACGATAAGTTGAGAGGTAATATAGACCATGAGGTAAGGGTGAGAGGTGGAGGATGTGAGAAGCCTTTTTCCCAAATGTTGGCTCCGTCATCTAGCAGAGTATGGATGACAACCACGGACTATTCTAGACAGTCCAGTGGAACACTAGCAGGCTCGCAACCTGTAGGTGTTGTGAACGATGTGTTCACCCGTGTACTCTAAAAACCCATTGACATGTATTGCGAGTGGACTCTCGAAAAACGATACTGTCAATAAACGAGATAACCCTGGCAGATGCGCCTAAAGGACTCTACCGGCAGAAGCGCCTAATAGAGAACATCATAACCTTGGCAGATGCGCCTAAAGGACAATACCGACAGATGAGCCTCATAAGGAATGTCACAATTCTGGCAGCTGCGCCTAAGTGATAAAATTAGCAGCTGTGCTTGACAACTGTGTCATTGGCAACCATGGACTTCGTGTCGTTTCCTTAGGATGATCCTTAGGAATGAATGAACGAGGAATAGCTGAATCTTAGGGTAGATCCTTATGAGTAAAGTAGATAACGGGGATGGGTAATTGGGTTGATTGTTTGATGTTTAACATAATAATTATATTATTGTGGGTTGAAAACCCTATGTACTCACCAGGTTTCCCAACCTGACCCACTCAAGCTTATTTGTATCACAGGTGTCGATATGAAGTTACATTAAACTGAGAGATTAAAGAGATGTAGATCACTAGTGTAAATGAATGTAAGTTCTATTTATGCTTATGTTTCTGTATTGATGATGACATCCCAAATGTTTTAAAATGAACAAAAATACATTTCTTCGGAAATGCTTTGATAATGCATTTATCATGTTTTTCTGGGAACAAATTCCGCAACATATTTATTAAAAGAGGTACTCTGATTTTTATAAAGCATAAACAAAATC